CAGTCCCAGAGTTCATCTCTCCAGTGAAGCACTTTTGAGGAAGGAAAAGCCCTCTGGACAGGCGAGGAGAGTGCTGTAGCTGGTTGTAACATGTAGCCCTCCGCCCCACTAGTTATGGATTTCTGATAGGCTAGATGGCAGCTGCCAAGTCTGGGACCCAGCAGTTCAAGCCACTGGGCAATGAGTCTTCCTTTAGTTCTGGGCCCCCAGATGTGGGCAGTGAATTCAGCAGGCAGTTACTGTCCCCATTCTCTATGATGCAGTGGTGGTGATATTTACATATTATTCAGATTCATGGGCGCCTCATCTCCATCTGGTGTATGTTGGCAGCTTCCACTGTGCAGTCAGAGACCTCTCCCCTGACTCCTCTCGAGGGCAGGGGTCACATCTTCCTGGTCTCTTTGTCCTCAGAACCTTGCCTCATGCCTGCCATGAGGCTCCTCAGTGGCTGTGCAATGAATGCTCCTTGCACGAGTGAAATGGGCAGTGTGGTATGTGAGAAGCAAACCTCACTGGGGCCCGGGCTTTCTCATCCATCTTCCCAGCAGTTTCTGGGTGCCGCGTTGCTATGCTAAGTCTTCGCATTGCTTCATGTTACCATCATGCTGACTCTGTTACCACCTCCTCTAAGGACAGGTCATCTTGGCTGACAGAGGACTTGCAGCCTTACCTGTCCCGAGAGCTGCTGAAGGGCAAAGCTGGGCTTCACACTCAGGTGGGCAGATGCCAGAGCTCCCATACTCGAGTGTTCCGTGTTGTGTTCTGCATGCCCTCCATGAAGTTCCCTTGTACGAAACCTCCACTTTGGAGTTCACTCTGGCTCTGGTCAGGGCCTCAGATAGGTGGGAGGAGGCCATTGCCATGCAAGCGCTGACTCCTGGTTCCATGACTTACCAGCTGCTTGGCTTTGGGCAAATTGCTGTAAATCTCTGTGCTGTAATCGGTTCTTTTATGACTTGGGATGGAGCACCTCTGTTGGGAAGCTGCTAACTAGGCAGTTGCTCCAATTCCTGCCCTGCTTGCCTGGGGCTGTTCCTGCTGGATGGTCCCTCCGCATGGTCCCTGCCTTGCCAAGTGAGCACAGTAGTGGCATGGGGAGGCAGAGCTCACCTAATTAGTGTGGGTGGGCTAGTTTTTCCTTAGCCTGACCAAATTCTTTGTAGGCATCTGATTGCCTGCCAATGCACATGGCTGCCAGAGAGTTAATCCACTGCCCCAGGGAAGTTTATTCAGCTGGCTGAGACAAGCCTGGGACATGGGGACACATAGTCCCTGTGATTTGCTGCCCCTGTCATCAGGAAACATTACTGCCCTGCCACAGCGTGGGGCACCATGAAGGCATGTGCATTGGCTCAGAACCCACCTCTCTGTCAGGTGGGCCACAGGCCTTGGTGTGGTTGGTCTTGCATGTGGATGTTCAGCCAGGACCCACAGGCTTCTCCCTGCATGAAACCAGGTTAAGGGGGCAGGGGCCTAGACTTAGAGAGCTATTAGCGCAGATTTATACAAATATGTGTGTGTGTGTGTGTGTGTGTGTGTGTGTGCTGGCTCAAGGGGACTTCCCAAAGCTCATGGAAGAACAGAACTAAAAGTAATTTATTTGGTGCCAAACGTTTTTGAAATCCATGCATGCTTTATTCATAATGTACTTTTCTCATGAATGATTTGAAGGTCCCTCATATGCAAGCATTTTAATCTTTTTTGGCATCAAAATAAACTTACCCTTTAATTCTATTTTCTGTGAACTTCTTGAAGTATCCTTGTGTGTATTTCTTTATAAAAGCATGATAAAAGCTCATTGCAGAAAATTCAAAAAATACAAAACCATTTGAAATTATCCATGATCCCATGACTCCAAGCAAACTAATATTAGTGTATAGATATGTTTTCATTTTTTCTACTTGAGTACTTTTATGCATTTGAAATTACATTGTACGTTCAGTCTGGCATCCTGGTTTTTTTTTTTTTTTCCGTGTAACTTGTTTCCATCTGTTCTAATTATAAACTGAATTATAAACCGAACACTGTGACTTGGCCCACGCTATTGTCACTTGTGTCTGCTTCCCCGTGACAGGTCCTGTTCATGGCTGGAGGGGCAGAAATATGGTGGCAGCTAGTGCTAGAGTGCGCCTGCTGACTGCTGGGCCAGGGTCCCACACTCTGCAGGGCTAGCTCATCCTCACACGGCCTTGGGGAGGGACTACTCACTTAGGACAAGGAGAGAGGGGTTTTTGAGGCATGGGAGGAATCATTAACACTGCCCAAGTGCTGTTCTAGTCCATGCTGTGTTCTAAGCACTTGGCTTCTATTACCTTGTTGACCTGGCATGACAGCCCATCTTACAGATGGCTAAACTGACAGACACGGATGTTTGGTGGCTCACTTAGGACACGCAGCCAGGGCTGGCAGGTGAGGAGAGATGCCCTGTCCTGGAGCTGGTGCTCCTAACCCTCATGGTGCCTGCCTCTCCAGGCAGGTGCTGGGTCTCAGTGTTTGGGGGCTGGTGCCATCCATTGATTGATTGATTGGTAGGAGAATGAGTCCCTTGGATATAGTGTCCTACTTGTCAGGGCATGGAAGGGTTGTGTGTATGTGTGTGGGGGACAAGGCCCACAGGAACGCAGCCCATGAGTGGGGCTGTGGAGGACAAGTGGGACCCCTCTGTGGTGACAGTGGGCCTGGCCCTCTCCACAGAGGCAGCAGGCTGTGCTGGTGGAGGAGAGCTGGCAGCATGTGGACCAGAGTGCCCTCCTGAGGCCCCTCAGTGTGTGCGCTCCTCCTGCTGCAGGAGCGCATGCTCAGAGCCTGCCCATGCTTCCTGCCCATCCCTGGCTGTGTGAACTGGGCAGCTGACACAGTGGCTGCCGTTTATAGACTGTGCTCTAGAAACAGCTTGGAGAGGATGTTGGGAGGTGAGATTTTGCAAGGCCTTGGTGTCTTGTCTGACATGGGCTGTGCTTAGGAAGGGGGTGGCTGCTGGTGTGGCTCATGCATAGGCCACGGGGGCAGTCAGCTTGCATTTCCTGTGTTCTTGGGGCCTTGGAACTGGCCCTAGTAAGCAGGGTCCACTTGGCTCTCTGTCACCTGGCATCTCTTATCCATTCCATTCCTGAATGGATTGACCGGGCTAAAAAGCAAAAAAGTGGAGTTCATTAAAATCCATGTAATATCTTTATAGACTTCCTGGGTTGCTGGAGGGTCTCGGTCCCATCCGTGGTGCGGGAGGAATGGCATAACTTCCGTCTGGAGCTGCTACAGCACCCAGAGCAGGTGTCCCAGGGTAGTTTGGACCTCAGGGCTGCGGTGCAGACTGGAGAGTAGGAACACACACAGGCTTCAACGATCTTTGTGGGCTAGGGCAGTGCCTTGCCCACTAAGGATGGCTGCTGTGAATGTCTGAAGTCCCCACGTGCTGCGGCTACACAGGAGACAGACCACAAAACCAGTGTGTGAAGGCGGTTTTGAGCGTGACATCTATTAAGCTGTGCCACATACCAAGATCGTGCTGGACACAGCACAGGACCAGAATCCTCCTCCTACTAACCATCGCTGGCTTCTCTTCCTCCCCTCAAGTCTCTCTGGGAGGGTTTCCTCGTGCTGCATACCTGGACCCTAGGCTCTGCAGTGCACTGCCCAGGAGCCATGACTGACCCACCCTGCATGTGCTCGGTGTGTCTGTGTCATTCTGCTGGCTGACGGAACACTGGACCTCACTGCTCAGGGCTGTGCGGCATCTGTGCTTGCCCCTGTGAGCAGGAGGGCAGTGGGGCTGGGAGCTTCTCAGTGGAGCAGAGTTGGAAGCTGACCTTGTGGCACAGCCATTGGAGGTTGTCAGTTTTCCCAGGTGTGCTGGCTGCAAAGAATACTGGGCCCTGGTTGGATGTCTCACATCTCACTCCCAGTTACTAATGAAGGAGGGATGGCCACTTCCCAGGCCACACTGGGTGTCCCCTGTGTCTCTTCCTGTCCTTCCATAGGGTGCCTTGCTGTGAGTGATGATGACCCCACTCCATTCTCTGCAGAGGTCACCGTGTGCAACCTCTGCACCAGCCCCCGATGCAATGATGATGCCCCCTGCCCTGTTCTCTGCAGAGGTCACCATGCACAGCTTCTTTTTTTTATTTTTTGACAGGCAGAGTGGACAGTGAGAGAGAGACACAGAGAGAAAGGTCTTCCTTTGCCATTGGTTCACCCTCCAATGGCCGCTGTGGCCAGCATACCGCGCTGATCCGATGGCAGGAGCCAGGTGCTTCTGGTCTCCCATGAGGTGCAGGGCCCAAGCACTTGGGCCATCCTCCACTGCACTCCCTGGCCACAGCAGACAGCTGGCCTGGAAGAGGGGCAACCGGGACAGAATCCGGCGCCCTGACCGGGACTAGAACCCGGTGTGCCGGCACTGCAATGCGGAGGATTAGCCTAGTGAGCCGCGGTGCTGGCCACCGTGCACAGCTTCTGCACCAGCCCCCGATGCAGTGTCTGTCTCCCCCATGCTGTCTGCAGACAAACCGCAGCTCAGGATTTACCATTCTGCACGGTGCTCCAGGCCCAAGGCTGCTTCCTCGCTGGCCCTGCCTGAGGCTCTGCTCTTAGCTGTGTGTTTCTAATTCTGGATTCCTTTCTCTGAAGCAGTGTCCCTGCTTAACATGGGTCTGTTTCCCTCACAGCAGTACAATACAGAAAATGTTCATGGTGGAGAAACTTAGCTTCACTTGCCAGAGCCACAGGCCTTCATTTCATCTGCAGATCCGGCGGCTCCCCAGGAGGGACGGTGGCCTGGCCTTGGGCCTGTGCCTTGGTGTGACGCATTCTCCCTCCTCTTTGTGCCTCACGGCCTCTTCTGATTCAGGGCTTTTCCTAGGACTTTGCTTTCTGACATCTTGAGTGGTTCTCACTTTTGTTTTTGAGCATGTGCCAGAATTTCCCAGCCGGGTTGGTGTCAGTCTCATTGTGCCTCTGCTCTGCCATCACCATCAACATCGCTATTGTTGTTGTCATTGCAGAGAAACTGTACGGCAACTTCCTGAGCTGGAAGCTGGAAGAAACCCTTGCCCAGTTCCCCCTGCAGCCTGGGCAAGCAGCCACCTTCACTGTCACCATCAAAGCGAGCCTGGACTTCTCCTGCCAGGAGGGTCTCCTGCAGGACCTGAGTGACGGTAAGCGGCTCCCTCGTTTCTGAGAGCTCACCTGCTCCCAGGTGTGCGTTGTAGTCAGCTCTCTGTGGCACCCACCACCGGTCATATGACTCGCTCAACCGAGACCTTGCCCCTGCACTTGGTTAGCAGCATGACTTACTGCAGGCACATTATAGAGACAGTTTCTCAATTCCCAATCTTGACCATCTTGTCCTGATGTGCTAGGTGGTTGTCCTGAGGGAGTGGAATGCTGTGATTTTTCCCCCAAGTGTACCTGCTGTGTCGGTGGGACACACAGTGGTGATGATGGAGTTCTCCCATCTGGTGATGCCAGTGAGGAGACGGAGCTGGGGGCAATGGGAATTGTATCTGCTGCAGCACCAGGCCTGGCCGCATGGGGACGTGAGTTCACGGGTTAGCTGTGTCAGGTTGTCACATGCTCTTATGGAGGCCTTGGGGGTGTGTTAGTCAGCTCAAGCTACTGTAACAAACCCCACACCTGGCCTGGCCTGACCACAGGCTTTGATTTTGACGGTTCTCAGCATTGCAAGTCTGACCCAGGTGCTAGCATGGTTGGGTCCTGATGAGGGCGGTCATCTTCTTGCTGTGTTCTCATGGGGTGGAGACAGATCAGCTCTCTGGTATTTCTTCCCCTTCCTTTTATTTTTTTAAGATTTATTTGTTTACTTGAAGGGCAGTTATGGGTGTGGGATGAGGGAGACACACAGGGACACATGTGCATGCACACACACACACAAACACACAGAGAGGGAGAGAAGAAAGATTTTCCACCTGCTGGTTCACTCCCCAAGTAGCCACAATGGCTGGGACTGTGCCTGGCAGAAGTCAGGAATCTGGAAAACCATCTAGGTTTCCAATGTGTGTCAGGGGCCCGAGCTTGGGCCATCTCCTGCTCCTTTTCCAGGCATGTTAGCAGAGAACTGGATCAGAAGTGGAGTAGCCAAGACATGAACTGGTGTTCACATGGGGTTCTGGAGACACAGGCGGTGACTTAACCACCTGTGCTGTAACACCAGCCCCAGTAAGAATATTTCAATCCTGTGTTTTAAGGACTTTAGAGTCCTCATATACAGTGCGTGACTTTCATCTCCGTGAACATGCTGTGAATGACAGACCTTCCTGTGGGTGTTTTGGGTCTGGGTATTCCTGGGTGTGTTGCAGCTGCTGTTCCTTGTCCATTCACCTGCCAAGAGGCATTCATGCATTTCCATTGTCTTGGCTGTGGTGAGCAGTGCTGCAGTGGACATGTAAGTGAAGACATGGCTCTGCCATATACATATATGTATTCTTGTATATATCACATACACACATATTCACATGTACAAATCACATACATATACACATGCATATTACACACACATGTCACACACAGATATCACACACATGTACATACACACATGACATACATGTACGTATACACCTTACATGCACATGTGCATAAATCCGGATGTGGGCTGGTGCGGTCGTGGGAGAGCTTGAGTTGTTTTTAGCCTTTAGGGACCCTCCGTGCTTGTTTTCAAAATGCTGTACTGACTGACGTTCCCCTGAGAAGTGTGCTAGATCCTTCTTTCTGCACCTGTGGCCTGGGTCTTTTGGTAATAGCCAGTCTGGTGGAGTGACATGATGTCTTATATGGTTTTATTTTTATTTATCTATTTTAAAGCTATATATGTTTATTTGAAAGTTAGAGTTGGAAGAGAGAGGGAGGGACAGAGCGAGGGCTCTTTCATCTGGTGGTTTGCTCCCCAGATGGCCGCAATGGCCAGAGCTGTGCCAGGCCGAAGCCAGGAGCCAGGAGCTCCTGGATGCAGGGGCACAAACACGTGGGCTGTCCTCCACTGCTTTTCCCAGCTCATTAGCAGAGAGCTGGATTCAGAAGGGAAGCGAAGTGGGACAAAAACCAGTGCCCATGTGGGATGTAGCAGTCTCAGGTGGCAGCTTACCCACAGTGTCACAACACTGGCCTCTCTGTTGTGCTTTTAATTTGCATTTCTCTGATAATTGGAGATGGTTACTTGTATGTCTTCTTTCGAGAAGTGTCCATTCAGGGGATGTTTTCTTGTTACTGATTCATTTGAGTTCTTTGTATTAAGATAGTAGCCCCTCACCTGATAAATGATTTCAAATATTCTCTCAGTGTGTGCGTCAGTTCTCTACTCTGTTGCTTGTTTCCTTTGCTTGGAGAAGGATTTTCTTGTATGCAATCTCATATGTCTATTTTTTGCTTTTGCCGCCCATGCCTTTGGGGTCACATCCAAGAAATTACTGCTCAGATGAATGCCATGGACCTTTCCCTCTGCATTCCTCTAGTCATTTTAGAGTTTTGGGTCTTATGGTTAAGAATTTATTTACTTATTGGGATATGTGTTTATGTATGTGTGAATGTGTACATATATAGACATCAAATCTCTAGAACAAATCACTATCACAGGCATTTAATTTATTTTCATCTTATTTCAAAGGCAAAGGAGGTTGAGAGATAAAAAGAGAGAAAGAGAGAGAGAGAGAAAGAGAGAGAGAGGGAGGAGAGGGATCTCCCATTTTCTAGTTCACTCCTACAATGCCCAAAATGGCCCCAGGGCTGAAACTAGGAATTAGGAACTAAATCCAGGTATCTGACATTGGTGGCAAGAACCCAGTTATTCGAGCCATTGCCACTGCTTCCCAGGGTCTGCCCTGGCAGGAAGCTGGAGTCAGGAGCCTGAGCCCTGATGTGTGACATGGGTGTCCTAAGCACTAGGCCAGATGCCATCCTTTAGAAGGTGTGTGGCATAAGGACCCTGTCTTGTTCTGTCGTGTGTTCCCAGCATTTTGGCCGTGACAGGCAAAGGGCTTTGTGTCTTGTGGTGTGGATCATGAACGGGTCCTCTTTCTCCTGCTTCTCCCCTGAGTGTGTGGGTTCTGAAGTTGTGTTCTTGTTCTTTCTTGTGAACATGTCCCCCTCAGAATTCCCCCCAGTGTCGCTCCCCCTCTTCATGGAGGAGCAACACAGGACCCTGCCTAGGCTTCATATCCGAGTCACGGCACCATTATGTCGCTCCCCCTCTTCGTGGAGGAACGACACAGGACCCTGCGCTGTTCTTTCGTCTGCTCGGCCCTCCCCGGGTTTGCTGCTGGTTCTTCCCGGGTTGGCTACTATCCCTTCCACCTCCGTGGAAGGGCAGTTCCCCCTGGCCACATTCCCCACTTCCGCAGGGGAGCGGCACACCGCCGGCCGGCTTTCTCGGGGGCTGCACAGGTGTTCCTTCAGCTAGATGTTCCCCTTAGATGTTCCTGGTGCATGCCGTCTCTCTCCTCCTTTATAGTCCTCCTCCGCCAATCCCAACTCGGCTGCCCACACGCCGAGTACGCTGCTCTCCAATCAGGAGCAAGTCCTACAGTTTATTGGTTGAACTGGAGGCAGCTGTGTAGAAGCTGTTTACTTCTCTCCCAGCGCCATATTGTGGGAGAGCAGATGCATAGAATAAGTCTTAATTCCAGTAACTCAGTCTAGTCCGGTTTGCTCCCCACAGATCCCCCTTTCTTTTTATTTTTGGCGTTGATATGCGCCTGTCTTCGGTGTCCCGCGGCACACACTCTGCTCTACTTGCTAGAGTTGCCACAGGTTCTTACAAGTCCTATCAATCAGGCAAACCGAATCCGGGTCCTCTCTTCGCCATGTTGTGAGGAGGTTTTAGGCGCTGATGCGTGCCTGTGTTCGGTGACCTGCAGGCTCATACTTTGGTCGAGCCGCCTGCTGGCGCTTACCGCCTTAATCAGGCAGACCGAATCCAAGCTTTCTCATTGCCGTATTGTGGGGGAGACTTATTAGTGTTGGTTCGTGCCTATCTTCGGTGACCTGCAGCTCATACTCTGGTCGAGCTGCTTGCTGGTGCTTACCGCCTTAATCAGGCAGACCGAATCCAAGCCTCCTAATTGTTGTATTGTGGGGAGGCCTTACTGATGTTAATTCGTGCCTGTCTTCGGTGACCTGCGGCGCATAAGCTGCTAGCCGCCGCAGGTGCTCATCGCCTCACTTAATCAGGCAGACCGAATCCAAGCTCTCACATTGCTGTGTTGTGGGGAGGCCTTACTTCTCTATTTCTCTATCTCCGGGCATTCCTATTTCTCCCATTTTACTTCTATCTTCCAGCATTCCTATTTCTCTCATTTTACTTATAAACTTCTGTTTCTCTTATCCCCGCGGCTTCCCGGCTGCGCCCGCCCCGAGGCTGCTTCTCGGCAGCTTTCCGGCTCTGAGCCGCTTCAGCCCGCGTCTCTCTCATCTGCGCAGCTCGGCTTTGCGCGCACACTCCGCGGTCTCGCACTTAGCCCCGCGTTCCCTATCTACTTGTGCCCCGCACGCTCTCTCTGCGCAAGGCAGCCTCCGCGAGTCACACAGCGTAGCTTACGTGTCCGCCACTAGCATTCAATCTAAGTTCCCCGGGCTAGCCTGGCGAATTCAACCCAGCTTACGTCTCCGCCCCACGGTTTGGCTTCCCGTCATTTGCTCCCCGGGCTAATCAGACGGATCCCAACCAGACTTACGTTTCAGCTTCTGGTTTCAACTTTTCGTCCCCTATTCCCGGGCTAACTTGAGAATCCCAAAGTGGCTTTCGTTTCAGCCTCGGCCTGCCCCCCGCGGCTTCAATTTCCCTAACATTTTTCTCTACCCGGTATGTTTCCCCATGCTTTCCTCCAACAATACTCCTCCCTCATTTCTCCTGGCTTCTCCCCACAGTCCGCATCCGAGTCTGTTTGTTCTAGCTTTCACTTTCGCTTTCGACCTTAGAGATTTCTCCCAGCTTCCCCCCGTAGTCCGTATCTGAGTCTATGCCTAGGCTTTCAATAGCTTCTTCCGGCACCTTTTTCGTCCGGCTTTTCCCTAGGGTGTTTGCTAGTCTCTCTCTCCGGTATTTTCCCAGTTCTTCCCGTTTCTTCCCTCCTAAGTTTCCTATCCGTCCTGGGTTTCCTATCCGAGCTAGGTTTCCTATCCGAGTCACGGCACCATTATGTCGCTC